GGAGCCGGTTCGTGGGGACGAACGCCTCGCCCCCTCAGGTTGGCTGCAGCTGCGGACTCGCCCGTCCCTCCCACCGCCCGCCTGAGGGGGTCCCGCTCGGGCGCCTCACCGCTCGCGCCCCGAACAGCCGCTCCAGAGCTCCGCGCTGCTGCTGTTGCCGCTGCTGCCAAGCGCCCACCCGGCGCAGAGAGGCCGCCGCCATCATCGTCGGCTCAGCCACCGGAGCTCTACCTCAAGCGGCCTACGGGCCGCCCTTTCACCTCGCCGCGTCCCGACCAATCAGGAGCCGCTCCGGCGAGCGAAAAGGCACACGCCTCCTCCCGTCCTGCCTCGGCTCGCGCGCCTCTCCTCCAATGAGGCGGGGCGACCGCTTCCCAGCAGAGAGGGAGGGGAGGGGTGCGCGGCGGCGGCGGGGGGCGGGGCCCGGGCCGCAGACAGAACGCGGCGGAGGGGCTCGCGGGCGATTTGTGAATAAGCGCAGTAGCTAAGAGAGGAGGAGTCGTTTGGACGCAGCAGCAGCAGCAGCAGCAGCAGCAGCAGCACCTGTATACTTGGGCGGGGGAGCGTGGTCAGCACCGCGCAATCTGCTTTCTCGCGCTTCGCCAACGCACTCCCACCACCTCAAGCCATGGGCGTAGCCTGGAACCTCTGTTAGCTATGTATTTTTATTGATTTTTATTGATTTGCTGCACCCATGGGGGCGCAGCTGCCTCCCCCTAAATCAAGTAAATAAATAAAATGCTTAACTAAAAGTGGAGATCGTTTTGACAGATTTTTCTGAGCACCTGGGGTCAAACGAAAGTTAATTTAAAGCAGCTGTTGTTGACACATTTCATTCCAAATCTGCTAGGCATAACCAGACAAAGGATGATGACAGGTGGGTGTCTGTCCTGCCTGCCCTCTCCCCCCCCCCATAAATCCTGGCTATGCCCATGATTCCAGTCCTTATTTGCTATCCCGGCTATATCATAGTCAATGATCACAGAGCCTTACGTCGAATTACAGAGAAACTTGCCTGCCGTTCTCAACCAGAGTAGCTCACTTCTTGTTTTTTTATGGTATCATGGCATCAGGAGTGCTACCCCATAATTCCTATAATGCAGAGAGGTTCAAATAGCAGGAAGCATTGCAGGAGTTTGGACTAGATGACCTTATGATTCTAATGACCCTAGGCCCAATACAGTGGTACCTCGGGTTAAGAACTTAATTCGTTCCGTAGGTCCATTCTTAACCTGAAACTGTTCTTAACCTGAAGCACCACTTTAGCTAATGGGACCTCCTGCTGCCGCCGCACTGCCAAAGCACGATTTATGTTATCATCCTGAAGCAAAGTTCTTAACCCGAGGTACTATTTCTGGGTTAGCGGAGTCTGTAACCTGAAGCGTATGTAACCCGAGGTACCACTGTACATTTAGGTTGAATATCTGAAGTCTAGATTACTCACACCTGCTCCAGAGTGTTTCCACAGATGACCTACTAAAGCTTATTAAAAAGTAAGTACATTACAAATATGCCCTTTTGGGGAGCTTACAGCCATAGACCTTGTTCCCTGCATCCTCCAAACATCTAACAATGAAAGAGAACACCCCTTGTCCGGTATGATTCCAGTTCAGATAAGGTTTTTCCTTCCCAGCCAACATGCATTGGCAGCTAAGATTGCTCTGAAATCCCCCAGAAATTAAAGATTAACCCTGCAGGACAATCACCTCACTTGCAATGTGAACAGAGGGGGAAAGTCATAGGGCAGTTCTCAGCCAGAATACTAAAAGGTGGCAGTGTAGGTTTTCCTTATCAGCTTTCTGTTTGCTTCAAAAGTTCACTGGAACAGTGGCTATACAGTCAGTGACAGTGTCCAGCATTCATACATGGAAGACAGAAAGGAGAAGGCCTATATGTTCCTCTCCCCACCCTTCTTTTCCACCACACAACAGAACATCTAGACTGGACTACCTAGTCCTTGTCAATACTGCTGGCTGGTCTCACAAGGCACCTTGCCTATATAGGTAATGGATGGTATTCAACTATATTTTATTCATTGCAGACCCATTGAAATTAATGGACCTAACTTAGTCATGTTCATTCATTTTAGTGTGTCTACTCTAAGTAAAACCTAGTTGACCACCACCCAGTGCGTATAATGGAAGTTCTCAGCAGAGGATGGCCCTTTGGCTCTGACATTTGTGACCCCAGTCTATAAAGAGAGAAGCATATTATCTGAATCAGTTGCTGGTTGGTAAAACCAGCCGTTGCATAACCTAGAGGCAGCCAGTCCATGGGTACCCTAACCCTGTCAATATATTATTTATTTAGGTTTCTAGCAACACATATCTCATTCATCCTCAGAGCAACCCTGCATGGTAGGTGTCTAAGAACTAAACTATGGCTCAGCTGCAACTCTGACATTATTGCAAATAAATTCTACTGGAGAGTGTTCATTCTGACCAACATATCTGGCTGATTTAATAGTGACATGACTTGTTGATAGATACCTCACCAATCCATATTTTACAGATACTTGATTTTCTTCCTGTATTTTCCAGCTTTGCTTCCTCTTTCTTGGCTTCCATTATATCAGTGATGGCACCAGAAAAAATATTTGGGGGGAAAGAAAGGACAACATGCATTTCAGTAGGGTGGGGTGGGGGAAGGAGACCAAACCATCTTTAGTCTCAAAGTAAAACTTGCGTGGAAAAGAATGTCAAACTGTTTATGCATCCTTAAAATTACAAAACCTGCAATGCAAAATGAAATTATTTTGATTGTGATTCACATACCTTTTGGCCTCTTTATCTGGCAATGCATTCAGTGGCTACCCTATTAAAAACCAGTGGTGATGATGATAATAATAATAAACCACAAGGAAAAGCTAGAGCTTCTATTAGAGAACTTGCGGATAAAAAAACTCTGAATATTTCACATGGTTGCTGTTGATGGAATTTCACCACCTGCCAGACTAGTTTTTTAACCGTCATGCCTTCATCTGAATATCTGTGTACTAAATGGGAAAGCAGTGGGTCAACTACTAAGGAGAAATAACAAAGGAAATAATTTATGTCTGCACAAGCTCTGATCTTTAATTTACAGTGAAAGCAAAGTGCTTTTTCCATAGTAAATAGGTTTCAGACTCACTCACTCCTTAAAGGTTAATGCCTGCCATGCAAACAGCATTCAAGCAGTAAGCCACTTTCTCAGCACGTGGTATCCTGAGCTGATGTTGTGTCAATATTTTTAAAAGGGCAAACAGACTGTCCCTGTGTAACTATAGGCCAGCTCGCCTGCTATCAGGGAAATCAAGGACAAACCAATAGGAAGGTGGATGAAAGACTCAAAGGGGGGGGGGGAATCTAAAAGAAGAACGTTCTTGATTTCATTCACCTTTCAGATGTGACTAATGAGGACAATTGGGTCAAAGTGGCACGCTCTGAGCTATCATTCAGCCAACAGAAATTCTATATTAATGCCGATTTGTGTCTTCCTATGCTTGTTCTTAGCCAAACCACTCCATCCATGCACAAGGCAGAAGTACCAGCAGACTTGCGGTAACCTCAAGGTATGTATATGTACAAAAGTGGGTGGGGACTTAGGAAAAGAAACCGCCCCCCAAACAGTTTCATAATAGCTTAATGGCACAGAATATTGAGATACTGGAGTAGGGGGAAACCAGACAACCTGACCGAGGGGAATAGAATAGAGTGACTGAAATAGAGAAACACTGATGTATTTTTATTTTATTTATCTAAGTTGTAGACCGCCCTTCATATAGTGATTCCAGGGCATTTTCTAATAAATTACAAAATTTACACTCAAATAAAATATACATTTTTTAAAAAATTTAACACAGCAGCACAAGAAAATATAAAAATCAACACTAATCACCCATTTATCCTGAATGTCAGAGATAATATTTTAAATGTTCTCACTTGGTAGTGGAACTGATCTCATCAGTTTCTACCATCCATACCTTCATGGGAAGGCAGTTAGGGGCCCACAACAATAAAGGAAACTTTTATCTTGGTTGCCTCACTGCACATTATGCCAAGCCCACCAGTAGGAGGACAAAGAAGGCCCCCTCTATTGACCACAGGGTGATTAATGTGGAAGAAGGTGCTTTGACAAGGAACTGGGTCCCAGACTGTAGGCAGCTTTAAAAGTTCATAGTAGCTACTAGACCCAGTAACACATGGGCAGCCAGCGCAGTTTCTGCAAAATATGTTATATATGACTTCATGCAGGTGCTCCAAGAATGCTATCTTGCAGCAGCATTCTACACTATTCTGTACTATACTCCTTAAAGACGGCCTCTCCTGTATGAACCCTGCGAACATCATCTGAGGTGTTTATTCGCGTGCCTTCTGCTCAGAAGGTCCAGAGGGCAGCAGTACGATAACGGGCCTTTTCTGCGGTGGCTCCCCACTTGTGGAATGCTCTCCCCAGGAAGCCTTGTCTTCGTTGCATATCTTTAGGCGCCATGCAAATACTCCTACACCTTTGGCTAATTAAACAATCTATGGCCTATTAAACTGTGTGTGTGTGGGAGGGTAAGTTTGTTACTATCGTGTGGTTGTGTTTTTATATTGTAAACTGCCCTGTGATCCTTTAAAGCAATTGCTAGCAATTCACTTCATTTTGCTGGGGGTGGGGGATGATTTGGTCCCCAGATATGATCTGAAGGCACATGAAGTGAGGGTATGGCTACAGCCTGGGAAACCTATATGTACTACCTTAAGTTCTATCATGGAGGAAAGGGGGGATATAAATGTACTATACTGTATTATACATTAATAATAATAATAATAATAATAATAATAATAATAATAATATATTTTATACTCCGCCCATCTGGTTGGGTTTCCCAAGCCACTCTGGGCGGCTTCCAACAAAATATAAAAATGCAATTTGCCCTAATTTTGCATTCTGCATACCACAACAACCTTAAGATCTCTTTGTAATTTGTGGACACACTCGGAATTCCTTAAAATGGAAATTTAGAGAAAGAAAAAAGCTTTGCGCAGTGGCAGTATCATAGCCAATGAGGTTAATCCGAGGCACGATTATTGCTAAAATAAAAATGAAAATAAATAAAAATGAAAATTTAGGGCATTTGAAAATGTCAAATGGTTTTCATTGGTATAGTTGGTTTAAAATAAATACAGATTTATCTCACACACAGAGAGACCAAAATCCCTACTATAAATGAGTTTCAACTGTAGGCAATCATTTCCCACAAAGTCACAAATGCTCTCTCTAAACTGCAGTTCCACTTGGCTTGAGCAGACGCATTTGAAAAAGGCCATATGGCTAGCCCTGGATGTTAAATAGTTTACAGGGCTCTTGGCATAATGGGAAATATTATCATGCGCTGAGAGTTGTTTAAGGGCCAGGTTATGGCTTGCTGGAAGAAGACTGGGCAGCAAAATGAACATTTCCCCCCTGCTATGTGGAACACATCCTGCTTAGAGCTTTGTCACCATTAGTGTGTACCAGGGACAAGCTACCTCTACTATTCTCCAATATACCTATAAATTCCAGGGTAAGTCTAAAATGGATCTTAAGAGGGGCAAAGGCCACAATATGGTCTACGTTCTAGGTATTTCTGTGAAGTGGACAGCTTAACATACTAAGGAGTTCAAACGGTTGGCGATCATCCATATTCAACACTGAGGTTATAATTATGGTAAAATGTAATAGGAATTTGACTAACACATGCAATGCACCTTCATCTCTGCCTATGTGTATGCATATTTATGCTACGTTTGTGGGTAAATGCAGTCAGATGGGAGTGCTTGACATTATGGCTTAGAGGTCTGAAAAACCTCAAAGTCTAATTCGCTCCCTGAATTTCAAGGGCCAGCTACAGATATTTTTGTGGTCCATTTTTATTTCACGTGGCTGAAAATTATGTTTTTTCTCAATTTCATGAGTATTTTTTTTTTTAAAAAAAAAACAATAATGTCCCAACTGCAGGAGCCTGTGCCTGTAAGGGTAACTCAAGCCAAAAGAAATATTTATCCTCCAAAGGCAACTCGTACTGTAATTCATTCACGTCAAAACCAATCAGCTGATAAAGAATCCCACACGTATTCTGCCTCCAACCTTTCCACTTCCTGCTAAACATTGATATAGCCTAACTGTTGGCAGAGAAGAAAGAATAGCATCCGAATGATACATCTTTGCCCCCTTTGTACAGGGTTATTACATTACACAACAAAATCCTTAGGCGTTGACGTCAGTCCTTCCCATGTATATAAGACACAGAGGCACAATGGCATTATTGCTGTGTTTTCATTTGCTCCGCAGAAGGGTTTCTGTTTGCAGGCCCCATTTCATACATAGGCAACCACCTGCAGGGAGACATCAAAGGAAGCACCCCACTGCAGCCACGGGAAACTGACTAGGATTACAGAGACAGAGAGAGAAGGCTGCAAGCAGAATGTCTGCAACCAGCTGGATGGGAGAGTAAAGAGCTTGATGCAGACGGAAACTGCCTGACCCAAGTCATGTTTCCTTCCTTGCAAAGGAACAGAGACACTTTACGCATGGAAGGAGTTCATTAAGGCTGGAGGGATGAGGAGGAAAAGATATTACACCCCAGCCTTCCCATACAACTATAGACTGTACAGTCTTGTAGGGCACAATCCGGTTCCCAGTTACGGGCCCCTAAATGCCATTGAAATCAATAGGATTTAAGGAAGCTTGCAGCCAAAGGAAATAATGTTGTGTTATATGGCATGATTAGGGCAGTGTCAAGGGAGCATTTGCCATCTCAAAAGCAGCAAGGGTTTTGTTTGTATAATAATGGAGAAAAGCATCAACATCCACCAGGATTTTAACATGTTTGTTTGCTTTTACATTTAGGGAAGATGTATACTGTTTTACTGGGGGAATGTAGTACACAGCCTTTAAAATGTTTAAAAAAGAAAGAAAAATTGTACCTGAAATGATGAGACATGTCTACAGATATAAGGTACATATTTGCTTACTCTAACTACTTTTTCTTTAATCTAAAGGACTTGAATAATCTAGGTTATAAATATTTGTCAGTTAATACAATAAATCTGAAACGAACACAAAATGGTGGTAGCATAGTGAGGGAAAAGTTTGTTACATGCTATCAGTGAAGACACAGACACTATCCAATAGGTTTCTGCATCACTTGAAAAGCCACAGTCCACACAGTTTTTATGAATGAAATGCAGCTCCAGCCATGGGCCAAAGTATTTTGCTTTATTGCTTTGGAAAGGCAGCCATTCTGAAACAGAACCATTGTTCTGAGAGAAGACATCAAGAACACCTGCAGCAACAGATTGCATATTCTAAAGCTTGTGTACCTGCAAAGACATGGTGACTTCTATGGGCTTTAGTAACTATGAGCAGAGTTGTATTGCATATTCTAAAGCTTGTGTGCCCGGAAAGACATGGTGACTTCTATGGGCTTTAGAAACTATGAGCAGAGTTGTATCGCATTCCATGTCTCTGAACGTGGTAAATCTTGCGTCAGCTCACAATGCCACAGGTCATGGGTTGCACTGCTTTCCCAGTCAATGTGCTCAGTTCTAAACATTTATTTGCTTGCTCAACAAATTCTAAGGTCATGCTCTAATAGGAATGTTTATACTCTGGAGCCAAGAGAACAAGTAAATAAGCAGTCTTCCCTGTGGGATAACTTAGCAAAAAAGTTGCAAAATTTATCATGCACTGCTTTGCAAGGGCCTATGCTGAACTACTGAACCTGATGGAAGCCCATGTTGTTTGAGCATGGAAAATCAATGTGCATTGTTCTAGCAACATGGCACCCTCCAGATGTCATTGGGCTCAAGCTCCCATCAGCTCCACCCAGCATGGCTGATAGGGATGATGGGACTTGTAGTTCATCATCTGGAGGACACAATGTTGGCTACCCCTGTTCTACGTGGTCTGTTCTTGCCGCATTAGAGCCATCAAAACATTGATGAAACTAACTCTAGAAGTAAAAGAAAATATTTTATTGTCAATTTTAACACTGTTTAGATTGGAAGTTGCTTTGAGCATTCATTTTAATGGAAGGCAGAATGTAAATGCTTTTATGGAAGCTAACAAAATGTACATCATACTTGCTACCCAAACAGGACAAAAATATTTAGAGCAAAGAATCCAAAGCAATCAATTAAATTATATCTATTTACATATCTTGTTTCCCAAAGTCAGCCTAACCAGATAAAAATATGGAAAACAAGTTTTTAAAGAATAAGTAGACTGTCACTAGACAGATAATAGTATACCTGGAAAAAATGCTGGGCATGTAGGCTTAGTGATCGTTACTTAATTTGTTTAAGCAGAAAAAGCCTATTTCTACAGCGGAATACAAATTAGGGTAATTATGTTGTGATGGAGCACTGCATGTTTAAGATGAAAGGCTTTCTTTACAAAAGCTCCTTCATCACTTCAGTAGACGAATATAAAATCCCACTTAAACAACATGGTATTTTCCATATTTCCATCTCATCAAAAAGCCTGTTAATCTGTCGTTTTTTAATTGTATGGTAAAGTAAGGGGGTTTTCTTCCTTAAAAAGACCCTTCATCATTTAAACAATTAACACAGATGCAAATGTGTACACGGGTATAGGCAGGAATTGACATTTTAAAGTGTCAGTTGTGTAATGTGTAATAAAATGCAGAAAGCTCTTTATATTGCATTACATCAAAGAGCTTTGGACCACAATCTAGAGGGCTGCAAGCCAAAGGCATGAGGCAGCCGGGGGGGGTTGAGTGGAAGAGCGTCACTACTGGAGTTGGACATGCAGATGCACAAGCTATATGCACGCTTTGCTGCAAATAAAAGACTTCTACTTAAGAAAAATATTATTTAGATATTACTTGGCTTTCTGCATGCCAAAGCTTTTGCAGTAGGAAATGACTACTACTCTATGTGCTTTTGCCTTCAAGTTTGCAGCTGCAAACCCCATCCAGTTATTTCCCTTAGTGTAGTTTACAGTGGTACCTCAGGTTACATACACTTCAGGTTACATACGCTTCAGGTTACAGACTCTGCTAACCCAGAAATAGTGCTTCAGGTTAAGAACTTTGCTTCAGGATGAGAACAGAAATCGTGCTCCGGTGGTGCAGCAGCAGCAGGAGGTCCCATTAGCTAAAGTGGTGCTTCAGGTTAAGAACAGTTTCAGGTTAAGTACGGACCTCTGGAACGAATTAAGTACTTAACCTGAGGTACCACTGTATACCTAAAAGCCTCTGTGCAAAGCTGCCATAGAAATAGGCACCCATTTTCAGTGGGGCTCACTCAGGGGCTTAAGTAAGACCCACACTGAAATTGGAGTGCCCCATTTCTTGTGATAGATGGTGTGTATTACCGCAATTCATTAGCCACTTAGAAATTCTGTACTATTGGAATCATCCCCATGTAGAAAGCGTTAACCTGCAAGAATGCATTCTACACACATCTATTTCTTACAACAGTCCTGTAAGGTGGTCGGTGTTATGACCTACCCTAATGGGTGGAGCTGAGAGGGACTGGCTTGACTGAGGCCACCCACGAAGCTTCTGGCTCAGCTGAGATTTGAACATTGAAATAAGCTGCTGCACTAAGGCAGGTCTCAACAACATCGTATCAGCTCTGATGTGCAGGAATGGGCATATGAAGCTGTCTTGCACAGAGTCAGACCACTGATCCATCTAGCTTGGTATTGTCTACACTGACTGGCAACAACATTCCCAGTCCCACCTGAAGATGCCAGAGATTGAAAGTGGGAACTTCTTCATGCAAAGCAGATGCTCTACCACACAGCTAAGGCCCTTCCCAGCATGTTCATATGTCCTTCGTATGCGTAAGCATAGTGACAAACACAAAGGAATCCCACAGCTTCCTAAATTGGATGTTTTCTGTTTGGAAACAAATAACATGGAAAGCGCTCCTGCACTCATGGAACAGTTCCAAAGACCTCTATGGAACATCAGCATGTTCCATAACATTGTGGTAGCTATTTTTTGTTTGAATCTGAACTGCTATAATTGCAATTTTGCACTGAGAGCCCCCTGAAATTATGACGGCAGCTTCCAGCCAACATTAATGTTGAGCTTGGACTCTCTTCTGAAGGTAAGTTGTGTACTGTGGGGTG